AAGTAGCTAGGATTATAGAAGTATGCCACCTCAGACTGGCTGCTAATCTTTACTTTATACCGTTTTTGGAGAGCTCACTTGACCGCAAGGCTGTTGGAGGACTCTCCAATCTACTCTGGTTTTATTCCTTAATTTAGATTTTCTCAATGTTCTAGCTTTGTTGTCTTATCAGCATGATAACATGATGAGTCTAAAGTATCTTCATACCCAATCAAGCTTCCTCTCTGATCTACTTTTTGAATAGGATTTTGATTAAGTCATTCAGAGTCAATTAATTTAATTTTATTTTTTATGCTTTCTAATGTTAAAACAAATCACCAAATTACTGATTCTTTCTTTCCCTCAACTTGTTGATGTAGTTGATTTAATGTAGCTACAGTTCCAGCTCAGATCATGCCATATCCTGACCTATCTCCTAACTGGTTTTCATCCCTAGAAAGTAAAGTATCCTAAAATTGTTTAAAATCAATTTTATATATAAAATTGATATATAAATTTTTGATATAAAAATCTCAGGCATCTCAGAGACTGTAATAATTTTCGCTGAACTCTAATTCCATGCCCAAGAAGCATTTCCTTATGCATATCCCACTAGATCAAAAGACTTTGTTCAACTTTATTTCCTCAAGTTAATAAAAGTTATTAACAAAGAGCTGTTCAAAATAATGCTATTTCCATAGAATACAATTAACATTTGTTCATTTGTAATCCCTTTGATAATCTACTGGATTAGTCCACTTGTACATTTCATTTTAGCTCATTATACAAGACAAATTGGTTTGTCACTAACCATGTTCCTTTTATTACTCCACACAACTTAGACCAAAACTTGTTACTTCCAAGTCCCACCTCTTCCGTGAGACTTTCTCTTCCATGAGACTACTCTTTCTCAGCCTAGAATGATTTGTAGTACTGGAAGACTTAGATTGCACTTTCTAATGTGGCATTAATTTCACAATTAACAATGAAACACAGTGTGGCTTTTCTCTTATAGAAGTTGTTTCTATATTGCATTTATTTTTGTATTATTTATTTACTATTTTTGCCTTTTGTTTTCCCAGACTTTAAATTTCTTAAAGTAAAGGACCCTACTCTCAAAACATTTATTTATTTATTTATTTATTTAGGTGGCTCTTGGGTTTAAACTCAGGACTTCATGCTTTGCAAAGTAGGTGCTCTAACAGCTTGAGCCACAGCTCCATTCCTCTTGCTCTGTTTTCTTTGGAGATGGGCATCAGGAACTATTTGCCCAAGCTGGCCTTGAACCAAGATCTTCCTAATCTCAGCCTTTCAAGTAGCTAGGATTATAGGCACTCGCACCCAGCTAAGTCTTTTTACATGGCATTCAGTGCAATATGTTAAGCATAAGAGAGATATAATATTTGCATGCTATTTGTAGAAATTAATGAGACTGTGAAACTACGTGACATTTTCCTAGAGGAGTTGAGAAAACAGGATCAATTTTACATTAACTTAGAAGTCCTGTAAGTACCTACTTTGGTTTCTTTCTTGCCACTGTTGACTATAATTATTCTACACTTTACTTTTTTACTATTAACCTAACCTCATAACAGAAAATAGAAAAGATAGGGGATGAGATAATCCATTACTTTGATATATTTCCTTTTTATTTTGGTAGGATTAGTTTTAGAAAACTTAAGTGAGCTAGGAGTCACTTAAACACTCTTTTTTGGTACAGGCTTCTTACTGTCACCTGTATCATTTATTTAAGCATGTGCTTCTTTACTAACTAAACGGTAAATCTGTAAAATCATGCTGACTTCCTAGCTGTCAGTCATTTCCTTTGCCTTGGTTCAAAGGGAGTGGGTGGAGTAGAAAATGGAGGGCAGAATGCAATTCACAGATGTATTCAAATGTACACTTTTCATAGGAAAATGCATATTTTAGGTATATTAATATTCATAACCTTATTCAAAGCCATCTGCTTTTTTTGGACTCATTAGAAGTCTTGTTTTTTGGCAATACTCAACTAAAAATACACAGATTTTTAAAAAGGCATTGTGGGATAGTTATTAAAAGTTTAATGATACATGAAAAAAAGTATACTGTTAACTACCTAAAATTGTTAAAAAGAAAAGCATTTATATTTCTTAATTTAACTATATCCTATATTCTGCACATCTTAAAATCACCAATGTAAATGCCTGCATTTACGTTTAGTAAAACTTAAATTTTAGGTAAAGCTTCTAACAAGTTTTTTTTTCTTTTATTTATATGTGCATACAATGTTTGGGTCATTTCTCCCCCCTTCCCTCTACCCCCTCCCTTACCTCCCCCAACAATTTTGTTAAAAAGAAAAACAGTTTAAGAAATAAAACACACCATCATAAAACATATAACTTTAATCTGAAGATTATTAATCAGGGGTAAAGGGGATAAGGGAGGTCCATGAAACCCCTGAGAACAAAATGGTTCATACATACTTTTCTATTAGAGAGACACTTACAAAGGGATCTGTGATCAATCCAGCAACCAAAGCAATCATCAAATTAAAAAAAAAATGACTTCATGCATTCTGTTACTTGACTACTGTCAGTAAAAATATAAATCAGGCATTAGAAATTTACTCAAAACTAAGGTAATATTAAGCGTAATAAAACTAAAATACAGTACAACACAGAAATTCACGTTGAAATTTTCAATACATAACATCATCAACTCCCATTTTCAGCTGCTTTGGAATTTATCTCCATGACACTGAACAATGAGTTGACTTGCTCAACTGGTCACTAACAACAAAGACCTGTAAATCCAATGGACTCACTATCTTTTCTTGTACTCTTTTGCATAAACCCAACACTGTGCCTTAGTCACACTGTGTTATTCATAATAGCCTTGTGATGTGGATACTGTTGTCATTCACAGCTTATACATGAGAAAACTGAGATCTCTAGAGATGGTGATACTGTCAAATACATTTTGAAGAACAGGTTGAGGTGTTTGCTGGCAGAATCAAGGAATAGCAGGGTAAGAGTGAGTTTGTATATCTTTTAAGTGTTGGTCATCTAAACCATGTGCTGATCTAATACAAAAATCCTTCTAATAATAACCCTAACAAATGATGAAAAAAGAGCCATAAGTTTTAGAAGTTCCTTACCAATCTAAACTTGATTAACTGCATAGGGTATAGGGAAATACAAAATTCATAATAGATGTTTCTCTTCTTTGGAATTAGATGTAAATAAAAGAGGCTTATTAATATTTAATTTCCAAGAGCTCAGATTAGCTCCCCTTCAATTTGGTCTGTTCCATATTCTGGACATACAAGTTGAATATCCATAATGAAATACCTGAGACATTCTAAACTCCGAAACTGTTTGAGTGCCAACATGATGCTGCAAATGGAATATTCCACACATGACCCCATGTGATCAAAATGTAGGAGCACTAAAAATATGGTATAAAATTATCTTCAGCCTGTATACATAAGGTGTACATGAAAAACAAATGAATTTTGTGTTTAGTCTTGGTTCCCATTCAAGATCTCTCCTTATGGATATGTAAATAAAACCAGGTAAGATTCCATCTCACTCCTGGTAGAATGGCTATCATCAAGAACATAAACAACAAATGTTGGTGAGGATGTGGGGAAAAGGAACCCTCATAACTATTGATGGGAATGTAAATTAGTACAACAACTATGGCAAACAGCATGGAGGCTCCTAACAAAACTAAAAATAGAACTGCCATATGATCCAGCAATACCACTCCTAGGATATACCTGAAGGAATGTAAGTCAGGTTACAATATGGGCACCTGTACAGCCATGTCTATTGCAGCACTAGTCACGATAGCTAAGCTACAGAAACAGCCAAGATGGCCAACTACTGAGGAATAGATTAAGAAAGTGTGGTATTTATATACAATGGAATTTTATTTGGCCATAAAGAAGAATGAAGTTTTGTCATTTGCAGGTAAATGGCTGAAAATGGAGAACATCACTAAAAGTGAAATTAGCCAGCCAGGTTCAGAAAGCCAAAGGCTGAGTATTTTCTTTCGTAAGTGGAAAACAGACCTAAAATAAATGCAAGCAATATTATGAAAAACAAGCCATACTATAGAGAGGTCAAACATAAGAGGGAGGGTAAAAGAAGAAAGTTAAGAAGGGTGAATATGGTTGATGTACTTCCTATACAAGAATGACTGAAATCACAGAAGGGGACTAAGGTAGAAAGGAGGAAAAATAGCGAAGATGAACCAATTCGGGTTATAATACATATATACATGGAAATGTCACAAGGAAACTAATGTATAGCATCTTAAACAAAAACGTCTTTTTTTTTTTTTTTTTACAAAAACGGAGAACAGAAAGGCAGAACAGGTTCTGTCTGGAGGGATGGTACCAGTGAGAGGTGAGAGGATGTGGGGAGAGAGTGTAGGAGGGTGAATATGGTAGAAATATTGTGTGCACATGTATGGAAAAATAAGATCTACTGAAACTATTTCAGGAATGTGAGCAAGGGGGATGAAGGAGAAGGTAGAGCGGGTGAATTTGGCTACGAGATATTTTAAGAACTTTTGTAAATGTCACAATATACCCCCAGTGCAATAATAAAAATAAGTAACAAAATTTTCACAGAAGAAATATAATATGGCATAGCAAAAAAACAAAACAAAACAAAACAATAACAAAAACCCAAAAAAACTCCTTTCATACATGCAACTATCCCTAAACCTAAAAGAAACATTTGGGATAAGGGATACTCAATGGTACTTGAAAAATTCATGATAATTACTATTTGGTATGCTCTAGAAAAAGTCCCAGTAGACTTTTTAGTATTGGACGTTATTCCTGCAAAAAGGATTAAGTTCAAAATATTTTTAAAAAACATATATGTCATAAATTCCTATTTTATTAAGGTACTGATTATAGGATAGACATCTTTTGAATGTATTATCATTCTAAAGCACTGAAGTTATTTGCTACTATGGGAAATAGTATGATTAGGGAGGGATGTGAAAGGCAACAACAATCTTACCAAAGTCTGCAAATGCTGACTGTCCAACCACCATCAAGTTGTTAGGTTTCTCAAATACACTTTTCACAGAGAAGTTTCCATCCTGTTAAAGTCAAAAAACTTTGAATCAGGCCATCATAACACACTTATTTGTGAAGTCACACTTATTTTTGAAGTGTGAAATAGCATTTTAACTTGAGCAGACATAAATGATTTAAGGCTTTTATTGTGTTGCACTAAAACCATCCTAGTCACCTACCTACTTTTATTGTGAAACAAATGAAATCACTGTGAATTAAAAAAATATGAATTTGGCATGTTTTCTTTGCTGTTAATTCTGGTATCTCATTATTTACCAAATTATCACCATAATTTCACGCATAATGAATATCTTCTCATGTCAAGTATTGTGGGAGGCTTTAAAAATATAACGGAACTAGTTCCTACAAGTGGGAAATAGTCTTCTTTCTTTCTTTTTTGCAGTTCTGGGGTTTGAACTTAGGGCCTTGCCCTTGCTAGGCAGGCACACTACCACTTGGGCCATGCTGCCAGCCTCCAGTGGGGAGATATGGTAAGTCAGGAAGATAGGATTTCTGAATGTAACATAAGTAGTGTAAGAAACTAGCAAAGATACTACGTTTTACAGATTTCATGATAAGAATATTCTGTTGGAGACAATTAAGAACAAGGAAAGCACGATATTACAACAGCTTGCATGTACTAACTGCCCATGTTTACCATCAAGGTAAACAGAAAAGGAGAACCCACCAGAAATCCTCTGATTCAGTTACTTTAGTATATACAAATTCTAAAAATAATACACATTTCTCTAAATTATTTCCTTCACTGAATTTGGAATACTGATGTAAATACAATTTCTTTTACAAACCATTTCATAAAGATTTCTCTTATCACTGACATTTTACTCACTGTTTGATATACTGACTTTGGTGCTTATATACCTATAGAGGATATTTATATACTTTAAAGTTTTCCCTTTATTCCTCTGAGGATACTGTAAATCTTCAAGTAAGTTCTTTAAGAAATCACTTCTGACTTTTTCAAGGAAAAGCACTGCTACAGTGAAAGCACAAGAACCATTTCTGAGGATCAGGAGTGAGTGAGACTTGTCTTGTGACATCCAATTTTCCAACCATTTAAATTCAATTATCCACAGACAGAATTAAGTTTCCTTTACCATTACTAAAGTATCTAGTATACTTTCCAAATGACTTTTCTGAACACATCTTGTTTATATTAGAGTATTACACCTTAGGGTTCCCCTCCAGTTGTAGATGTGTCAAAGTTGCCAAATTTTTGACTAAAGTGTTATGTGCTATTGAAGTTTATTTGAGGTTTAGAAGATCAGAGCATTGTGTACTGAGTGGATACAATGTTTCTTGAAAGAGTAGAAAAGAACTCAGTTAAAACAAGCTATAACATGAGATCAAGCTGAATATGAACCCGAAAAACTGAGTCAAATGAATCAATCAATCCACTGAAGGTCTGTAAACTTTGATAAGTATATCTAGAATTATTTCCAGATATAACTTCATGATTCATCTCCATCAAGGAACAATGACACTTCCCAGTAAGCCTCCCAAGTGTAAAATGCCACATTCACAATGAACATCAGTGGAAGAGCAATCCTTCTAATAAATGGAGGAAGAGAATATATTCTTGGCAAAGTATGTGCATAGAATACATTACAAAGTTGATACAACTTGGGAAATGACAATATTTAGACAAACTTCCCCTAACTACCATTTACTTTTTATTTCACTTGGCATTACAAACCTATACAATGTAATTTTGATTCAGATTAGTGCCATTTAAATATTCATTATTTGATGAAAATGATTTAATAAATTGCTTTATTAATATTTTGTTCCTCTCATAACACATTTTGATGTGAAGCATGGTTATATTATCTTTAAAGACGAAGCTGCTATCCAGCTATCTAATGTTAACAAGACACACAAGACATCAATATTTGTTTTTATTCTGAACTCATACTGACAGCAGAATACTTTGGTGGAAAGAGCACTAGACTTAGGTTTAGATAACATGGGTGCTGTTTTCATAGAGAGGTTGTATCACTTTGGGACAGCTATTTACTAATCTGGGTTTGATTTTTCATTGTCAGACTGGAATATGTGCTGACTAACTGCAGGAAGTATTCTGTAAAATGTAATGTATCAGGCATCCAGAAGATATTTTTACCCTGGAAGTTCTGCTTATGATCTGCGAGTACTTTTGTCATGAGCTCATCTATTCCATGGTCTGCCTCAGAGCTTTGTGCTTACAAAGTAAATTATTCTTTACTATAGTGCTCTTATTGGCCTTTACTGCTTTCCTAAAGTCCAAAATTGGTGTAATCATTGGGGTTTCTGTAGCAGCCTTGTCCTTGTCTCTTATTTTGTCTAGTTGGTTTCTGGAAATACTGTACAATGACTTCAGAGTAGAAGTTTAAGAAACAGATTTCTTAGCTCAACTCTAAGTATCATTGACTTAACTCTGAAATGCAGTTTTAAAAGTTTTTTTTTTGGTGAAGATTAATAAAATAATTCAAATAAAGTGACTAACCTACACTATACATTTAGTTAACATTTTAACTATTTAACATTTTAACATTTTAACTATTTGACATTTTTAACTATTACTAACAGTAGGAACACTAGTAGTAATATTATTAATTTCTACCGTAATAACCACCACTAAAGAAGCTAACCCACCTCTGTTAGGAACAGAGACTTTCTGCTATTTTCTGCTTGAATTCCAACCATAAATGCTATGTTATAGCAAATATCCTTTCATGGGTAAGTATCAATGCCTTGGTCTGAATATTTTAACCTTCCACCTACTACCCCATGATGATTAAACCCAGGACTTCTAGCAAATACTCTTACCACTTGAGCTACCCCAAAGCCATTTTAATTTTTAAAAATTATTGTTGTGGTGGGGGTACATTGTGACATTTACAAAAGTTCTTACACTATATCAAATATATCATAGTTGAATTTACCCCCTCCATCATTCTCCTTTATTCCCCTACCCCTTCCATTCCTGGAGTAGTTTCAACAGATATCATTTTTTCATTTACGTACATGGTACATGGTATTTGCACCATATTCACCCTCTCACGCCCTTTCCCCATATGCTTCCCCTCCCACTGATACCAGCCCCCCCCCCAGACAGGACCACATCACCCTAACTATTCTGGGGTTGCTCTCTTACTTATTCCTGATCCTCTTGCCTCTACCTCTTGAGTAGCTGGTATGCACCAACCATCCTGCCTGGTTGAATAGTTTAACACTGAATGCCAAAAACTGCCATCTGCATAATATTAAGAAGTGACCAGGAATCAATATGTGATAATGATTGTGCACCCCCATCTTCATTCATGTGTCGCAGTGGTTATCACAATCTTATCCCCCAGTGAACATTTGGCAATGTCTGCATGCATTTTAAATTATCACAATTGAGGGGAAGTGAATAGAGGCAAGGTGTGCTACTAAATGACCTACAAAGGACAGGACATTTCTCTACAACAAAATGGCAATAGTGTGAAGGTCGAAAAATTCTGACACAAGTGTTTAAATGTCTGGCTTTGCCATTCTTTGGACTCTCTTCTTATGGCCCTTACCCAGTTCTTTGAATTTCAGTTCTACATTTCTACTTCACTGACATATCTCTAAAGAAAGTTTTTCATACCCCAAATTAGATATTTCTTTTATCTTTCTATTTCTGCTATAGGCCACCATAAGTTACCATTGTGCTAATGGTCATCCTATCTTTTTGTAGCTACCCCTTCTTATCCATTCTCAGAATTTTACTCTTTTAATCATGTACATCTTTCCCAGGTTGCTGTGAATTCTACTTAAGTTATCTTACCACCTCCAGATTTTCCATGCCAACCTATCTGATATGGAATAGCCAGACTGATTACAATAATGAAACCTCTATTCATCTCACTCAAAGTCCTAAATCATTTAATAGCTTCTCAACGGAGTTCCTAAAGATCAAACTGGTTAGTTTGAAGTCAAGGCTTTTTTTTGATCTTGTCTAAACCAATTGTTTTCTATCAAATTCTTTCATGTTCTGGTTCAAACCAACTACCAGTACTCTGAATACATCCTGCTTCCTGTGTACTTCTTGCATGCCTCTTTCTCTCATTCTCTTATCTCCCAACGCTAAAATCCTACTCATCTGTACCAGCCATTTCAAATACCACATCATTTTCAAAGCTTTCACTAATAAACCTGGGTGGACTGGAGAGAAGCAACTGCTCTGACTTTCAACTCTTGTAGCATGAGGTAGCATCTCTCGTCATATCAGTCAGTCGTTCAAACACACATCTAAGGCCTCCTTCTGGCCTACATTTCTGTATCTTCCAGAGCACTACCATGAAGTTATGTAACAACTGACACTCTAAATTTAAAGATTTGCTGCAGGTTATTCATTTACTAGCTAATATAGTTTTATAGGTTTTGAATTCTTTTTGGTAAGTATGCTACCATAAAGTGATAAATTTTATGAACACTGCATTTTATATGAACTAGTTAATTTTGAGTCTACATTCCCCATAATTTATATTAATGACCTACTTATTGTTAATATGAGTACTGACAAAGATTCTCTTTTTAACCAAAATTTGTTAGATTTAAGTTTTTTTACTCAGTCCAAACTTGGGCTCCCATTTCCACCCTTATAGGGTTCAGTTTTTTTTTTTATTATTCATATGTGCATACAAAGCTTGGTCATTTCTCCCCCCTGACCCCACCCCCTCCCTTACCACCCACTCAACCCCCTCCCTCTCCCCCCGACCCCCTCAACACCCAGCAGAAACTATTTTGCCCTTATTTCTAATTTTGTTGTAGAGAGAGTATACGCAATAATAGGAAGGAACAAGGGTTTTTGCTGGTTGAGATAAGGATAGCTATACAGGGAGTTGACTCACATTAATTTCCTGTGCGTGTGTGTTACCTTCTAGGTTAATTCTTTTTCATCTCACCTTTCTCTAGTTCCTGGTTCCCCTTTTCCTATTGGCCTCAGTTGCTTTTAAGGTATCTGCTTTAGTTTCTCTGCGTTAAGGGCAACAAATGCTAGCTAATTTTTTAGGTGTCTTACCTATCCTCACCCCTCCCTGTGTGCTCTCGCTTTTATCATGTGCTCAAAGTCCAATCCCATTGTTGTGTTTGCCCTTGATCTAATGTCCACATATGAGGGAGAACATACGATTTTTGGTCTTTTGGGCCAGGCTAACCTCACTCAGAATGATGTTCTCCAATTCCATCCATTTACCAGCAATGATAACATTTCGTTCTTCTTCATGGCTGCATAAAATTCCATTGTGTATAGATACCACATTTTCTTAATCCATTCATCAGTGGTGGGCATCTTGGCTGTTTCCATAACTTGGCTATTGTGAATAGTGCCGCAATAAACATGGATGTGCAGGTGCCTCTGGAGTAACAGTCTTTTGGGTATATCCCCAAGAGTGGTATTGCTGGATCAAATGGTAGATCGATGTCCAGCTTTTTAAGTAGCCTCCAAATTTTTTTCCAGAGTGGTTGTACTAGTCTACATTCCCACCAACAGTGTAAGAGGGTTCCTTTTTCCCCGCATCCTCGCCAACACCTGTTGTTGGTGGTGTTGCTGATGATGGCTATTCTAACAGGGGTGAGGTGGAATCTTAGTGTGGTTTTAATTTGCATTTCCTTTATTGCTAGAGATGGTGAGCATTTTTTCATGTGTTTTTTGGTCATTTGAATTTCTTCTTTTGAGAAAGTTCTGTTTAGTTCACTTGCCCATTTCTTTGTTGGTTCATTAGTTTTGGGAGAATTTAGTTTTTTAAGTTCCCTATATATTCTGGTTATCAGTCCTTTGTCTGATGTATCATTGGTAAATATTTTCTCCCACTCTGTGGGTGTTCTCTTCAGTTTAGAGACCATTTCTTTTGATGAACAGAAGCTTTTTAGCTTTATGAGGTCCCATTTATCTATGCTATCTCTTAGTTGCTGTGCTGCTGGGGTTCCATTGAGAAAGTTTTTACCTATACCTACTAAATCCAGAGTATTTCCTACTCTTTCCTATATCAACTTTAGAGTTTGGGGTCTGATATTAAGATCCTTGATCCATTTTGAGTTAATATTGGTATAGGGTGATATACATGGATCTAGTTTCAGTTTTTTGCAGACTGCTAACCAGTTTTCCCAGCAGTTTTTGTTGAAGAGGCTGCTATTTCTCCATTGTATATTTTTAGCGCCTTTGTCAAAGACAAGTTGGTTATAGTTGTGTGGCTTCATATCTGGGTCCTCTATTCTGTTCCACTGGTCTTCATGTCTGTTTTTGTGCCAGTACCATGCTGTTTTTATTGTTATTGCTTTGTAATATAGTTTGAAGTCGGGTATCGTGATACCTCCAGCATTGTTCTTTTGACTGAGTATTGCCTTGGCTATTCTTGGCCTCTTGTGTTTCCATATAAATTGAACGGTAGATTTTTCAATCTCTTTAATGAATGTCATTGGAATTTTGATGGGAATTGCATTAAACATGTAGATTACTTTTGGGAGTATCGACATTTTTACTATGTTGATTCTACCAATCCATGAGCATGGGAGATCGCTCCAATTTCTATAGTCTTCCTCAATCTCTTTCTGTAGAAGTGTATAGTTTTCCTTGTAGAGGTCTTTCACATCTTTTGTTAGGTTTACACCTAGGTATTTGATTTTTTTTTGAGGCTATTGTAAATGGAATTGTTTTCATACATTCTTTTTCAGTTTGCTCATTGTTAGTGTATAGAAATGGTAATGATTTTTCTATATTGATTTTATACCCTGCTACCTTGCTATAGCTATTGATGATGTCTAGAAGCTTCTGAGTAGTTTTTTGGGTCTTTAAGGTATAGGATCATGTCATCTGCAAATAGGGATATTTCTTTACCTATTTGTATTCCTTTTATTCCTTCTTCTTGCCTAACTGCTCTGGCTAGGAATTCCAGTACTATGTTGAATAGGAGTGGGGATAGTGGGTATCCTTGTCTGGTTCCTGATTTTAGAGGGAATGGTTTCAGTTTTTCTCCATTAACTATAATGCTGGCTGTAGGTTTTTCATATATAGCTTTTATAATGTTGAGGTACTTTCCTTCTATTCCTAGTTTTCTTAGAGCTTTTATCATGAAATGGTGTTGGATCTTTTCAAAGGCTTTTTCTGCATCTATTGAGATGATCAAGTGGTTTTTGTCTTTGCTTCTGTTAATGTGGTTTATTACATTTATTGATTTTCGTATGTTCAACCACCTACATGGTTCAGTGTTAAGAAGAATGCCATTAAGTCAGTTTGTTTTGAATGTCCCAATTAATGTCTAATCACTCTGGCATGCCTATAGCTAGAATCCTGTTAGATGAGTTTAGCAAAGATTATGCTACCCTCTCAGGATTTTGGATGCACAGACACCCACCATGCTCCATGGCTATAAAGTCTCATTTTTCTTTGTTGTATCTGTTGTTGAGCCCAATCTGTCCCCTACTGCAAAACCCCACTAGAAGCAGTTTCCTGGAACAAAATTTACCTTAATATCTTTAAAAAATATTTGAATGCCAGGCACCAGTGACTCACACCTTTAATCCAAACTACTCAGGAGGCAGAGATGAGAAGGATCACAGTTTGAAGCCACACAGTTTGCAAGACCCTATCTCGAAAAAAACCCATCACAAAAAAGGGCTGTTGGAGTGGCTCAAGGTGTAGGTCTGACGTTCAAACCCCAATACCACACACATGAAAAAAGTCTGAATAATTTTCCTTTGCAAGAAAACAAGTCTTAGTTCCTATTATGCAATTACCACTTTTCAAATTTTCTTGAAAGAAAACAGTATCAGAAAGAAAACGGTATCAAAGGAAAAAAAATCCCAATGAAAATTAAGTCTTCATGAAAATTATTTTTTCTATTGCAGTGATGCACTTGATCACCTTTAAAGCCATTCTAAGATGACAGGGCATGATACACTTAAAAAGTGTTTCATAATTTTGTACACACACTTAACTTGTATTAAGGATCATTCTTCCACTAGGTAAAAATAAATCAAACAGGTATCTCATTTTCTAATAGCTAATATTCAAACAAGGTAGGAATGAATGGCTATTTGCAAACAAGTATCCCCAGCTATGGGTGTCTTACTGTATAATAGTCATAAAGAATAGGATATCAATATTTCCACCATCAGAAACGCAAATACAATTATATTTTGAAAATGCAGCATATTAAACAAAGATAAGTCTTTTTGGTTTAGTTGTCTTTCTTACTTCTCTATACCCTATTTTTGTCATCTGATAAGCTTTGATCCTGTCTAGACAGAGCCCTTCAGCCACCTTAGTTTCTAAATGTGAAGGGAGTCCAGGCTAACATCATTGACCATTACTGTTGGAGATAGTGGCCAACAATGAATCTCCTTTACATTTGTGAGAAATGATTATTTTTCATCAGCATTTTCATAAAATTTCTAAGAGGTTATAGGTTTACTTTGGATTGAATAAAAGATAATTAGGAGTAATTAGGCAGTAAATCAAAAAATTTAAAACTAAAATTTGTTAAGTGTCTATTGTATTCTAGGTACTTTACACATATGGTTATAATTACTCTTCATAAATGAAGCAGACTCTTACATCCATTTTCCATGAGGAAAGTCAGACTTTATATTGTCCAATATGTAGCAAATGTCACTGAATTTGACCATTTTTATTGACCTCAAATTCTGTCTTCTACTATGCAGCCTGAAATTTAACTTGTGGTTTATTCTTCACTAAATATCTTTCTAGAATCTACATCAAACTAAAAATAAAATCATGACACTGGTTTGGGAATCTTTTATTAACAATTAAAACAAAACAACAACTAGTGGACAAGACTTGTTAATCCTAGTCACTTTTTGTTGCTCCTATTTCTTTATATAAGCCTGAAATCAAAGAGGAAAAATTAGTTTTTGAAAAGTGTTTTCTTTATAAACTATCAGGCTGACAAACTAAATGACAGTAACCTCTCTCAATAGCTGACAGCCTAGCTGGGGTCCTGTTAACATGCACATTAGGGCCAGCTGATTGGTTTAACTGGCAGCCAGGCCTAGGCATGGCAGAGGAATGGATGCTGGATGGATCATTTCCTTCAGCAACACTGAACCATTTGGATGCATAACACAACCAAAGGCTCTTAAACTGGTTATATTTATTATGAAAACCAACTGACCAAGAGATTAATTTTATTTTCTAAATTGTATGCCTGAATTGAAAGCTATAACTTAATGCTTCAAAGAAAAGATTTCTTACCAAATTTTCCCATATCTCAAACTTCAAGGTATTAGACTCAGACAATGTTGTAAGGAATAAATCTAGAAAGAAAAGAATAAAAATGTAATTTTTTTGTAGTCATACTGATGATGTACATATTTAAAAGCAGGAAGAGATACAATATATAAAAATATTAATACAATTCTATCTACACATATCTTAACAAGTTTGATCACATAAAAAAGATTTAAGCTATCTTAGTATAATTAAGGAAAATGTACTTAAAGGGCACATTTGGTAGTAGTTCTTTGAAAGCATTCTTTTATTTTCAAGAACAATTACTTGCAGTCTTTTTTCTTTTTTTTTTTTTTTTGTGATGTTAAAGATGGAACCTGGCACTTAAATGTGTTAGGCAAACACTGTCACTGAGCACTACATCTCCAGCCTTACATTTAAAAAATTACATATATTTTAAAATCTTCTCTATTCTGAGGTGCAAGGTGATATTCTGATCTTAATCACAGTGTGCATTTTTAACTGAAAAGCAACAATTGTGTGTGTATGTGTATATATATACATATATATATAATCACAGGTAAGTTTCAGATTACTTTATATCACATTATTTCACCACCCAAAATCTTCAACATATGTGTTAAGAGATCAATAAATCAGGTTTTGAATTTTGAGAAAAAGAATTACTTTAAAAAATTCATACTAAAGTTTATTTGGAAAGTAAAAGAGTTTTAATAAAATTTCTTTGAAAAACAACAGTCAAATCAAATATCCTTTTAACACAAATGCTAGCTGGATGCACATCTTCCTAGTAGTGCAAGCTAATACAATGTTTGCATAATGGCAGTTTTACTTAGTGAATATAGAGATTTTAAACCTGTGAGCTGACTCACTGGAATATTAAAGTGACATTCTTTTATGTTTTAAAAATGGTAATTATTCAGGGCAATGTGAAGATCAGTACTATTTTAAAGAAAAGGCTTTCCTCATTATGCTTAGAAAACCATCATTCACATTTTATCGTTTTGTGTAAAAGCTTCATATGAATTTATGAAGCTAATGCATGCAATTATAAAAATGAAAAAGTTCATAGAATCCCCAGAAAATTAAGGAATTTGTTTGCTTTTATAATTAGTTGACTTGGGGGAATTCAAAGATGGTGGCTAGAGGGAGAAAGCAAAAAGCGTGCCTCCTAAAGTAAAATCTTGGAGAGACGCTGGAGATACACCTTACAGGAAAAGCCACCGAGAAGAGGCAAACTTTGACTCCTCCACACCTCCAGCCTGTGCATAGCATCTCCACCTCACGTTAAACAGAGAAACCAGGCGGGCTCCAGCACCGTGGCCAGATGGCAGCGTCCAGAGGGCTTGGAAGACACAGACCACAAGGTGAGCTAAGCGGTATGCGGTATTCCCATAGAAAACCCTGGGCCAGATCAGCATAGCCCCATGGACAGACTGAACCCCAACCAGGGAAAAAAGAGAAAATGAATAATAAGCAATAACAACAAAAAAGACACTGTGGCAAAGAGGGCAGGGCTCTCTGAGTGCCAAAGCGGGGAGTTTAGGGGAAATCCCTCACAAATAAGCAGGCTGGAGAAGGCAGGAGCGGCAGCACACACCCAGCAATCAGGAGTGGGAAACCTTGTAAAACTGGCGGTGGGAGAAAAACTCCACAGGAGAGGGGGAAAACCCACTTCCCATGTGAACTGTAAATAAAGATGCAGGACTGAAAAAGCAGGTGCAGTGTCATCTCCCCGAGGAGAAAGATTGTAGCAGTGGTGGTTGCACCCAGGAAAACTCTGAGTAAACAAAGCCTGAGGGTCTAGGTGAGTGTTAAGCTCACTCCTGAGATCTGCATAAATAAAGCCTCCAGCAACAGCAGGCTGACAGTAGCGGACAGCTAAGCCACAGCCTCAGATAGCCATTCACAGAACAATCTCCAGACTCTTTTTCTTTGATGAGACAATAACCAAACTACACCTGCATGCTGAAAAACTTACTTAAACTGTATTGCACATGAACTTGGGACAAATTGTGGGGTTTTTTTGTTGTTGTTGGTTTTTTTTTTTTTTTTTTAGTTTGTTCCCCTTTGATGAGACAATGACAGAACTACTTCTCAGATACCATCTCCAGGATTGGAGGCTGAGGGATGAACATGAAAATTATTAAGACTGAAACTTTATTACTTTTTTTCTATATATTTATTTTTTT